AACAAATGTACAATTTGATGGACTAGAAAAAAATCCATGTAATGAATCTAAATGAAAAGCAGTGTCTAATGGTAAGCTCATAATAATGATAAATTTATCATAAAATAGTTTAACAATAAGTAAATATTTTTAATGTTCAGAATAAACAATACTATTTTATTTCTTGTTATTATATATGAACAAAATCAGAATAAAACGCAATGTGTTTCAAGTGACATTGAGTTTTACATAATAGAAATTTAATGAATTTTACAGTTTAGTAATTATGAAAGTGGTGTAAGTCCATTTATGGCCCAGAAAGAATATATTAGTTTGGATAAATTCACATAGAAGTCTTTATGCAATCAACTTACATATTTCTAAAGTCATAGAAACATTGTCAAACTTAGTACACTTTGTTTATATTTTTGAATCAACTAAAATGCAAATGTTTAAATATCTCGAAAGAAGAAAAAATGGACTTACACCACTTTCAAAATAAACGGTCCATATGTATATTCTGTTAGTTTATTGCATCATAAATATTTATAATTACTCTGTTCAATCTGAAAACAAATGATAAGATTTGAAAGTAAGAAAATATTACAATCATAAATACTACAAAAAATGAAATACAGTAATACCCTGAACTTATGCGATAGGTGGGACCGAGCGATAACCACGTAAGTCGGGGTATAATTTCACAATTTGTGTAAAATCCAAGTTGGATGTATGTAAGCTAATAAATGTTCTCGTTAATCTTATCTCGTCTTTTGATTCGTTCATGGTTACAAGAAATCACCACATAGTGTCTCTCAAGTCTCTGTAGATATAATAAACACAGAAATAAATAACACAAAATAAATTGTAGCTATGTCAATTCTGTGCGACATGTCCGAACATGTAAGCTGAACAATAGTGTGGGGGAGTGAGTAATCAAGAGTTGCGTGGCACTCAAACAAAAGACAAATCGATGAGATTTAAAAATCACGTAACTCCAGGTTTGCATAAGTCAGGGTAGCGTAAGTCAAGGTATTACTGTATATCATCAGTTGTAATATATATTTCATTTTGTTCATAAGTTCTACTTGTATATGTGCTTCTTTGTTAATTATAGAATTGTCTACAAGTAAACAAGTTTAGTTTTAACTACTTTCCATAACAGAGAAGTTTTGATATATAAGAGTAATGAGAGGTTTATGAGGCATATTGCAAATCACAAGTAAATATATTGGATGTTATTCCCTTTAAATGTTAAGTGCTTATATACAGTTTGATGTTTGAATATGCAACACAAGCCTCCTGTGGCCATTGGATACTTCAGTATTATTGATAGTAGTAAAGACAAGGCTCCCAGAATATTTACTAGTGAAAGAATAAATTAAGTTGTTTAATAAAATGTTAATTAACATGTTAAAATGTTAAATGTTTAATTAACATGTTAAAATTAACAAGTTGTTTAATAAAATAAAAAATAACTACATGCATTTCCAAAAACATGTATGTATGTATGATGGATATTTTTTTCCAACCTCCAATGCACAGGAAAAAAATAAACAAACAAACAGTGTAGATCAAAACTGTTTTTATTTACAAAAATTATACACACTTTTCAGCTACTTTTTTTCATAAATGCCTAAATTGAAACAGTGATTATCATACTGTGACACCAACTTTTCTTAGTAAACAATATGTTTACTAAGTAAACAACTTTTCTATATCCTCATCAAAGAAGGTTGCCTCCAGGTTACTTAGCCCCCTTCTAGACTTCAACTCCTCATTAATTTGGAACCCCTACGTCCAAACCATCAATTCTAGTGAGTGAACAGATAGAAATCATAAGTGCTAAATCTGGTTGTACAGTGATGCTCATCCTCACATTGCAGTAAACACGGGAATTCCTTCAGTTCAAATAGGAAGTGTTTGATCACTTGTCTCATAACCCAAACCTAGCATTGATGAGAATATAGAAAAGCTGGTGCTGAGGTATAATAAATATCTAAATCAAAATGGCAATTATGTAGAAAAATAGCTAAAAATGTATCTAAATTTTTGTAAATAAAACAGTTTTGATCTTCACTTTTCATTTTTTTCCTGGCACTTTGGAAGTTGAAAACAAAAAAATATCCTTGTATAATTTATATAATCAAATCAAGAATCAATCAGTGTATTTTATTTTTTATTTTTGGCTATTTTTCGTCCAGAATTTAATTTAGAATGTAATTTTGTCTAAAGATACATAATGCTGCTCTCTTTTATATATTAAATGGTGATCTAAATTAATTAAATTCCAGTTGAAAAATAATCTTAAAATACCCAATAACATATGACCTGTGATTTGCTTATAACTTTGTTTAGTAGATTTCTATATAAATATATAAAATTATACGTATAGGATACTTTCAAAGTTTGTTGAGTATTAAAAAAAATACAGTAGAGCATCGATTATCCGACTCAATTGGGGGACTCAGGTTGGTCGGATAACTGAAAAGGAGGAAAAAAATACATTATTAGTATAATATATTAGGATATTAGTATATCCCAAGTAATTAGTTTATTAGTATATTGCTATTAACTAACTTCGCATTGAATTTTCATCGATGTTTAGCCTAACAAATTTTTTTAATAATAATCTTCGCTATTGTATCGTTAAAAATTATTTTTAAATTATTTTATTGCTCACGAAACAACCACTAATAATTAGAAAATTAAGTCTCGTTTAAATATTGGCCTCCCTTCAATGGTCAAGCCGTTGATGCCAGCTAAAACACGCAAAAATTTAACAAAAATAATATTAAAGTAGCCAAGACATAGCCAAATATTGTAATGCCACAACACTAGCGGACATTTGAAATTTGCCGACTAGAACGGTCGGTTAACCAATGTGACGGTTAATTAATCGGGGGTTGGATAATCGATGCTCTACTGTATATGGAAAATGATTTATGTTGGTTAGTAATAAACTTTTTATGTAAGTGATTTGCTATTTTATAACACATTCATCTTCATTTCTAAATTATATTTGTACATTTTGTTTTGTTATAAATTCTGTTTTTGGGTTTTATACATTGGAATAGTTTCAGTTATTAAACAATAATAAAATAAAAATGAAAAATAATTTACAAAAATTACAAATATACTGTATAAATATAAATTAACATTGTAAAAAAAAATAAAACATTTTTTTTATCAGAGTAATATTAATAGTTACAAAATCTAATTGTAAATTTTTACATAATAAATTTAACACAGCTGATTCATAACCAATATTATTGTTAGTTATTAGCATATAATTTCTTTAAGGCATATTTTGAATAAGATTTTGTAATGTAACCTTCAGAAGAAAAATGTTTATAGATCACCCTTACTATTAAACCAAATAATTTGGTTTCCAATTAAAATTAGTTTTAATTATATATAAATACTTTGAAAAAAATAACCTCGTTTTTGAGGTAGATAAAATATGAGTATACTAATTGAAATTGTTTGAGGACATCACTTATTTACATGAAACACCAAAACATCTGATTGTTTGAAGAGGAATCATTGATGATAAACTGTTGTTATTTTATATCAATTTATCAGTTCGGGAGGCCATCTCTAAATTTCCAGAAAGGAAGACATTGTCTACATATCAACAGACCATCACATATTATATCTACAATCCCATATGAAAGTTTACTCAATCCTTTCTGTCAGATGGAGGCATCCAGGATTTAGGTGTGAACTATCCTCATACCTGTATCCACAAATTTCCATTACTTTAGGAAAGTGAAATACTTGCTTCATCACAAAATACAACATTCTTCCAGTAAACTATCTGACATAAATGACTAGCTTTACAAATATTAAAATTGTTTCTCATATGGATGGGTGTCAAGATGGGTTTTTGAAAGGAGATTGTGTCCTAAAACCATTGTCCTTCCAGTTTCTTATAGTATGAGCTTTTGAGAATCTCAAACTGAACTAATTCTTTTATGAATTTTATTTGTATAAAATTCTTATTTTTTAGATACTGTATTATTTATTTTTAGGTAGTGTGTGGCTATATGTCCCCAATTTCTGGAGACTGTTCCCTGTTTTGACTGTTTTTAATATTTGAATGTAAATTTATTGTTGAATAAAATAATATAAATAAATAATAAATTTTAAAAAATAAGCAAAGTTCAATCAGTTATAGATCCCATTTTCACTGATTCTGAAATGTCCCAGTTGGACTGTAAATGATATGGTCCATCTATTTTAGGCAGATTCCAAAAAGGAGAGCAAATTAACACTCAACTCATGGTGCCACCAGACAAAGAACAGTGCTCAAAAGCCAAATATCTGACCACTCTAGTAAAATTCTAGACTTAAATTAATAAAAAAAATTATTTTATAGCAATTCCAAGAACTTATTTAATACGGATTTTTACAATAATTTTAAAATACTATGGCATTTGTTTATTTTTTAATATGAATATAAGCAGTATACTATTCAATTATGTTTTTTAAATTTAGTTATTAATTTTTTGCATTTTATTTTAACATCAAATTTGTAACCAACTCTTTCTTTTATGGATTAAAGTGATGATTTCATTAAAATATTTTTACAATTTACAAACATTACTATAAAAATTACCTAAATTTTTCTCTCTCTTGAATTTTACGATATTTCATATTGACTAAGATGTTACTTGTTTATTCTTCTTCAAAATAATGTAGTAATTTCACTGTTACTGTAATTTTTAATTTATTTTTAAATAGATTAAATGTAAATGTTTAGCAGGCAAACAACATAAAATACCAAATGAAACTAAAACCATTTTTCTATGATTCACATTAGCAAAAACTATTAATCTTCTCAATAAACATCATTATTGCTTTAACATTAAATTAAATAATTAATAAAATATATTCAATATCTACAATATGTAAATAGAAATTAAAAAAAATATATTTTATAAATATATTTACACAAATCAGACCATTATAATATTCAAAAATAAATTTAGAAACTTTTCATAATACAAAAGATTTCAAAAATTACAATATGCAATTTTTGTTATCTAAATACAAAAATCATTACTTAAAATTAAGTATGCTACTATACTAATATTCATTAATGTTTAAAGGAAAACAGTATTATGTAATGAAGATGCATTCAGAAATTTCCACAAATATTGTGAAACAATTTGTATTAAGCTTTCTTGTACATATTGAAAATTAAATTGAAGTTTCTTCAGATATGCTATCAGTATGTCCCCTAAATGAAAAAATATTACATAAATAATTAACAACATTAACTAACTAACTATTAAACTAGATATTTTAAAAAATACCTCACTTTATAATTTAATAAATAATAAATCTTACAAATTTTAAACAATTAAATTCAGTTATGATTAACTTAACTATTTAATCATAACCTTGTAAATTTCTATCACACTTGACATTTAAATAATTAATTTTAGTTTAGTGAACTCTTATATTAATGAATAATTTTTTTTATAAAATTATGAAAACTGTTAACTAAATGGCTGAGGCAGAATCAGCCTACTGTTCTGGAGACCTGGGATAAATTTGAGCAGAGAACACCAAAAATTTTTCATGGGTGATCTGTCTGTTATTGTAAAGGCTAGTGTTGGACTGATTATTCAACATTACTTGGTATTCGGCCAAATACTAAATACAAGTGAAGATGTTTTTGTATCTTCTATATTTTCTACTATCTGCCATGTTAAATCAAGATTACAATTTTTACAAGTTTTTATAGCTTATCATCAGTGAACATTTTAGAACTGTTTTGCATATTGTAGTAGAGTTGTAGCCTATAATAAAAGGCCATCTCTGCAAAGAAAGACTGTTTGTTAGTTCCTGGTGGTTGAAAAGAACAGAAGTAAAGATGTTTTTGTATCTTCTATATATATATATATTTTTTTTTACTAATACATGTATTGGGTATTTGGACTGAATACTTCCTAAAAGTTGAATTATTCAGCCAAATAATCTCATTTTAGTTGGGAGAAAGTGAGAGAAAAAGAAGGGGAAAAAATAAAGCACAAGACAAAATGAAAAGAACATTTAAAAATCAGATACTTAAAATATTGTTATTTATTCCTTTTTGAAACAAATATAACTTCAATAAATGACCTTGAGCAAATACTATTTATTAATAATCACAATTCAAAGGTGATAAATTGTAATGAAGAAATATTAAATGCTTCTGTGTTCATAGGAAGTTAAATGATTTTGTTGGTTCTCATAAATATTTACAGCTTTGCTGAACAAACTGCACGTTCACTAAATACCAAAAAATGTCAGAATGCAATGACAATGCAGCATTTAATTTTTTACTTTTCATCACATAATAATTTTTTTTTAAATATACATGTATATAATCTTTATTACTGAATATAACATGCTGCTTTTCATCTTATTCTAAGCCATTCCCAGTGGGTCCTCCTTGGGAGAGGAAGAAGACTAAAAAAGGCACTGGAAAACAAGAGGGCTTTAGGAAGCATTGGAAGACAAGGGGGATAAAAATTCATTTTAAAATAAAACGTTTTACTATTAAATTTTAAACAAATTATTTGAAGTTTAACAGTAAAACTCTTGTTCAAAGACATGTCTCAAAAACTGACTTTACAGTTTGACAAAGACATGCAGATTGCAAAAAGTGCTTTTTGTCATAAAATTAATTAGAAAATACAAAACAGACAATTGGATAAATCAAGCAAACTAAATTAATTATTGGAGAGATCGACTAATTCATTAAGAAATTATGAGAGAAATTTGTATTTTCTCATAAAATCATTACTGGCTTTAATCTCAGTGGTAGCACAATTTTATTAAATTAATATATAAAAAATATATAGAAGATGGGCTAATATGGTGAAGTTAAGCTTTTTTTATTTAAATAAAGCTGAAATAATGGCAGGATGAACTTTATTCTTTCATTTTGATAAGTTTAACTGTTACTCTGAAGCTTGCAATATCCATAAAATTTTCATTATAATTTTATTAAAAAGTTTTGCTGTGAAAGTGTTGCCAATTGTTTCTTCACACAGTATTTGAATCTTGTAACATACTATTTAAAGTAATAAGAGTCCATTGTCTTACTTCAACTACAAATAGTTGAACAGACAATTTAAGGGTGCTGTTTACTAATATTGAGCTAGATGTAGAAAAATTAGTCTCATCACATCAGGCTCATCATTAATTATTTTTATATTAATTATCAAGTACTTTAAGATACTTTTGGACAATTCTTTTTTTTTTATATAAAATTTATTTTCAGTATATCATTTTTGACTGATTTTAAGAGTGGTGCTAATGAAATAAAGACATGAAAAGGAGGAGGTATCACAAAGATTTTAAAGCAACAGATGGTTCGTTATCTCAAGAGAAATGTAGGTATGATATTAAAGTCAAGAAAGCAAACAGTAAGAAGGTCAATACTGATGTGTGCACTAAACAATAAAATTTCACAAAATTTTACAACTTGTTTCAAAAATTTTGTGTAACTGACATCTTCAATGCTGATGAAGCAAGACTGCTTTAACATGGTACACTGGATTGTTCTGATATACAAACACTCAACAGTACTACATTTAAAGAAAGTAAAAGATCTATGTTTATAATGTTCAAACATGACAAAAGGAGATTAAAAAAAAAAAAGCTTTTGGTTATTAGAAAAACACTGAGCCTTGATGCTTAAGATAAACAATTTATCACTTCTATATTATACTAAAAAGATAACATGAATAATTCTGAAATTTTAATTAATTAATGAGTTAGGATATGAAACTACAAAAGAAGTCAATCTAAATGAGATTGTACTTTAAGGTAAATCTTGTTTAGATTGTTTAAAAAACATTCATCTAAAATTTGTGTTTCCCAACACCATACATATCCTTGGTGCAGTCTATGGACATCACTTATCATAAATTTTTTTAATATAAAAATTATTGATTTATAAAGATTTTGAGATCTGGTTTTAATAACAACAGTAATAATTGATGTGAATTATTATTGTGATGGGACTGGTTTTAGTAGCAATTACATTACAGTGCAATCTCAGTAATCTAGCTGTTCACTAGTTCAACATGTCCAGTAACCCAGACTAGTTGATTCAGGTATTATTGGCATTGTTGCCAAGTGATAGACAACTCATTATTTCAAAGTCCAGTTCTCACTAAATGTAGCATCATATCAAACCCAAGCTGGAACATTCACGATTGGGCATGATAAAAGATACAGTATCTTATAACACAATACTGTATAAATATAAAACTTAATCGCCCAAAATTTCCCACTAAAATTACTGTACTTCTACTAAATTTACTGGGAATCCACCAACTTGATAACACTGATTACTGGTGAAGGCATTGCACTCAGATGTTTTGATCATTAATCAAACTTGTATGTTATTCTGCTACATCCTTTACAGTTGACTCTGCACTGTCAAATTCCTTTTATATGCCATTAAATTCACCTTACTTCCAATAATCTGGAAACTTCTTTAATTTGACACTACTCTGGCCCCATATATGACAGATTAAAGAGATTGTAGTGTATTATATTTGGTGTAATATCTTTTGTAAACTTTTTTATATAACTGATTATTCTCATTTAAGGATTTTCACTAAGTTAGATCAAATAAACATTATTAAAAAATCAAACTTACCGTTTGCAAACAGCTTTTGCAGTATCAATAGGAAATTTTTTAACTGTATCATGTTTTTCATTATTCCATCCATTTTCTTGAACAGCATCCATTTTATTATCTAAATCTTGTTTATCAACTTCATTAGCTGTTAAAAGTTTACATTCTTTACTACTATCATTTTCTATACTAAAACATGTTTCATCTATAGATAATTCTTCACTTTCAACTTCACATACATTCACAAAAGGTAAATTAGTTGAACATGAATCTGAACTATTATTTACATTTGTAGATTCAAATTCAGGTTTTATCACATTTAAATTTGCTGCTTCTTCCTGATCGAAACAATGTTGCAAACCAGATAAATAATGTAACATAAGAACTGCTAAAGCCTGAGTTCTTTCATCAGATTTTGCAATTAAGAATGCTATTTTTGCTTTTTGTGAAGAATCTGTTGCATCGTGCTCATCCCGAGCTAATTCCGTTCGATTTTCTGCTTCTGAATTAATTGCTTCTTGCAACTTTGCAATCTGAAATTAATACATTAAATATTGGAAATATAATAAATTAATTAAAAATTATTTTAAATCTTAAATAAATATTTAATTTGAATTACATTATTAGAAAAATTCAAAAAATTTCGTAAATAATAATATATTTTTATACATTTCCTAAAATAAAGTTTTTTCTTTTTTTCTAAAAACTATCATTTTAAATCACTAATAATAAAGATTTTTGCATTTACTTTTTAAATAACATTTCATTATATTTTATATCTAACTCACTCCATTGAATTAACACATTTATTTGAAATATTGTAATTTTACTCTGATGAACATGAAAAACATAAACTGATATTACTTTGAAATAAACTATTGATAAAAATTTATGTAATAAATTTGATTATAAAATAAGAAACTAACTACTTAGGTAATTATTTTAGTTCAATTTACTAAATAAATGAATATCAAATACCTAATCAAGTTAATCAAACATTTTTATTCGCAAGACATTAAATAATTTATGAAAAAATTAAATTCAATATACAGTATGTAAAACATTACAGGGAATTTCTTAACATATTACAAAAAAGTCAGTCATTCTATCATGTCAAAATATTATATTCTTACAGTAGCTCTTGGAATCAAATAGAAAAAAATTTTCTTCTAAATTCTTTCTAAATTTGTTAGTGTTACTTATTGAAATTATTATCTTGGTTTATATAAATACAGTAGAACCTCGATTATCCGGACTAATTGGGGATGAAGGTAGTCCGGATAAGGAAAAATCCGGATAATCGAAACAAATACTTTAATTTGTCTTTTAATGATAATACAACACGTTTTCTTTTCGATGACATATCGGTANATATGAAATATGATATTTAATAAGAAATTATTGAAAGACATTAAAAACTAACTGGAAGATAAAATTTTATACCCCTGGAGATGAAGATGGAGGAGTATCAGAAACAGATATCTGAATTCTATTGGGAGAATTTGTATTTGAATCATTTCCAGAATCTAACTTTTCTTCTTTTTCTAAAAAAAATGAATTAAGAAAATAATATGAATGTAAAATTGTAAAGATATTTCATATTTAAAACAATTTCATAAAATTAATTACTAGCAGAAGCTTGTTCTGAAGCTGAATAGCCAACTGTACATTTTCCATCTTGAATTTCTTCTAAATAAAATTTTACTCTTTCACTAAAAATACAAAACAAAATTTTCATAAACTTAATTAATTGGAAATGCAGCTGATAAAACTACTTCATCATGTGGCATAGCAAGAAGTTGCTCTATAATACTGTTGAGATCTTGTTCTTCAAGAGTAGCAGGATCCCACCAAGGAAATGAAGTTGTCTGTAAGGATGACTAGAGAAGAGTAAGAATAAAAATTTCACAATAAAAACTGTATAAAAATTTATTTAAATCTGATGATCATGACATTAAATCTTATGTAAAATATATTTAATGAACATAATAATAATATTATTATTATTTCATACAATTTTACCTTTCTACTTTGTGCAGGTGAATGCTGTGGTGAAGGTGGTAAACTTTTAGAAGAAGGACATAAGTGTTCATTAGGAGGTATGAGATTGTGAGCTGAACCAGTTCTAGTCATTGTATTTTTGGAACGGCCTGCATTTGCTAAATTTGCAATCAGTCCTTGTAATTTTTTCTTTCTTAACTGAAAAATAAACTCTCTCTTAAAAAGATTTATAACAAAATTAAAAGCTTAATTAAATTGTTTTGTTTTCTTAATATTTTTCAGTTTTCCACTTACATTCTAATATGATTTATTTAAATTATATATCATTATATCTAAAATTTATTTAAATTATATTTTGAGATAAATTAGGCAATACTCTTCTGATAAAAATACCATACAAATATACATATGATTAAAAATTTATTATGTACATTTATTAAGTTTCTTAATAAAGTTATTGAACCAATATTATCAATTCAAATAAAGACAGAAAGACATTTTGTCATTATCATACTTTATAATCATTCTCAAACTTCATGAAAACTAAACATTACTTAGATCACCTTTAAATTTTCAAAAAGAAGTTAAATATATTGCCCAAATTATTGCTAAAATATTTTAATACTATTTAAAAAATATTAGTGGATTAAAATTAAAAATTGGTCGATTGTATTTACATTAAAATATAAAAAATATATATATTAATGATACAATACTGTATATCGAAGATCATCTTCTGTCATTTACAATCATCAGCAATGACCATCTCTGTAAGTGAAAATTGTTTTCAGATTGTCAGTGGTGATTGTAAATGACAAGCTGAAGATAATTTTGTATCTTTGATATATATATTTTTGACAAGACTGTCTTGTTTATAAAATCATACTGCCTGCTTGGTAACCAGCTTAGAGGTATGAAGGAGTAAATGTTAGGAGTTGCAATTTGGCACAGATGGTACATATCGTGTGCACATAAAAAAACCCAGACTTGTAGGTACTCAGGGGACCAAGAAGAAAGTCAAAATAAAATTCAAAATGGCTACACTCTCTACAAATGGGCAGTAGTGCAAGATTTGTGCATGCATTACTTGTTCGGAAGTTGGAAATACGAATGTTGCTAAATCAAATTTTGACAAACGAATCTTCGAAAACCAATTTATCTGTCCCATGTTATTCTCCACATATCTCTGGTCGCCACATGTTAACCTTGACTGACTGGAGATATCTCATTTCATCATTGGAACGTTTTTGAAACTAGATGGCACATCGTTATAATTTTATATTAAAATTAACTTCTGAAATATAATTTTTTCTTTTTACATTTATTAATATATATATTTCGTTTGTACAAAATAAATAAATAATTTTGGACGATACGATAGCCAGGAATATTTTTTAAAAAATGGGAAATTTTCGTTAGGCATTGACAAAAATTCAACCTGAGGCAACATGCAACTTTGAGAAATTTTGAAATTGGATAGGTTAATTTCACCAAAAACGCATCATGGACGACCTCGTGGCCGTGGCTGGTGAAGTTTGAGAGATAACGCTCAAAACCAGCGACACCAAAGAAGATTGGAGAATGAGAATGAGACTCGCCTTGAGTGTCAAAGTGATTCCGCTTAGTAGTGAGTCTCCGAGACATAGTCTTGTCCCAAATATGGCCTTGTCGTTTTACTTGTTTATATTTTAATAAAAAATATTAGCATAAATAACCAAGTGAAAGTCTACACATTTAAAATATTTTATATGAAATATGATATTTAATAAGAAATTATTGAAAGACATTAAAAACTAACTGGAAGATAAAATTTTATACCCCTGGAGATGAAGATGGAGGAGTATCAGAAACAGATATCTGAATTCTATTGGGAGAATTTGTATTTGAATCATTTCCAGAATCTAACTTTTCTTCTTTTTCTAAAAAAAATGAATTAAGAAAATAATATGAATGTAAAATTGTAAAGATATTTCATATTTAAAACAATTTCATAAAATTAATTACTAGCAGAAGCTTGTTCTGAAGCTGAATAGCCAACTGTACATTTTCCATCTTGAATTTCTTCTAAATAAAATTTTACTCTTTCACTAAAAATACAAAACAAAATTTTCATAAACTTAATTAATTGGAAATATGACACAACTATACAAAGATCATTAAAAACTTTAAAAAGTTGATTGTATTTAATAATGGGCAAGAGTAGAATTTTAAATTATTTATAAATTTTCTATAATATAAATACTAAATATTTGTTAATAAAATTTTCTATCTAATATGTTATAAAACTTTTCTTTGACTTTTCAATTTTATTCTTAGAAATTTCATTTTTTACAAAATAATTTTAGTTTGAATTTTATTTTACAAAATTTCCAGAAATTTCTATAAACAATAATCTGCTTGTTGTTATGCAATCTATTATATTATTCTTACAAACTTTCTGATAGCAGTTTCATAAAGAAATTAAGAAACTTCCTGGATAAATATATACAGGTACAATATTTTCTATGAAATTTTTAAAAATGAGTTATAAATTAATTTTTAATCTAATATTGTTTAAAATTTGAATTATTATACTTCATTTTATTTTGTATTTTTAAAAATATGAAAACAAATGATTATTGCTTTAAATTTTTATATATTTTAATAAATTTCAGTTTACTGATATTTCATTGTTTACTTAAAACAGAAAAGTGTTCTGTTTATATTTAAGTTCTTAAGTGATAAGATTTCATTTTATTTGCAATTAATTTAGAAAATGTTTGGATACACTTAATGCATGAAACATTATTATATATAATTATTAATAATTTTTTAAAGTCATTAACAGTGTTTCAAATCCTGACAATGTAAAAATTGTTATTAACATTAATATAATCATTATAAAGTGTAATAACTGCACATGTATCATAAAACGTGATCTCAAAAATAAATTAAGTCTTAAAAATAATCCTAAAAATGTCATGTTTACAAAGAAATGAATAATTAGGTTTAAATGTTATGAAGTAATATACAAAAGTCAAAAATAAAACTGTGGAGATGTGTTTTAAATTATAATAAAATAATCAAATTATTATATTTGCTTATTTACAGGGTCACTGCATTATCATATTTTCTGAACTTAATTAAAAATGCCAAAAACACAAATTAATACTTTACTTAATAATGAACGCTTAATTTCACATGCACACACTTTACAATGAATATAATTACAAAAGATTCTCTATTATTGAAAGACAATTTACAATAAGGACTGAAAGTAAAAGATTTAATACAGATTTCTACATGAAAGAGATTTAAAACTTTAAATGTACTTTTTTCAAATGAAAAAATATAAATCATATTTTTAAATTTATTGTTTGTAATCTGTCCAATAAAAGATGAATGTTTCAAGATCATTTCTGATGAGTGGCTAGTCAGTCTTAGTGATTACAGCACTCAACATGATAATTATCATGATAACATGTTATAAGCTTAATGTGTTTTTATAAGTTAAATAAAAAATGATAAAATAGATGATAACTAAAATAATTATATAGATTTAAAATGATAGCCTAGATTAACTGTGTGATGTTTTGTCTCATTTTCACCATTTTGCTAATGACAGCAGAAATGAAGATAATGTTGTTACTACTTTGATTTATTAGCTTCATTTTTTAAAGTCTATAGTACAGAATTCTGCTTTATGTGAATTACAATAGCATTCATATAAAATTTAAATTATTATTCAATAAGTTGAAAAACAAAATACTTTTATAATCTTCGAATAACAACTTCCATATAGAAAAGTTATCATTTAGCATCTAGAATAACTTCTGTGCCGTCATCCGATTATTATAAATCTCTACATAGGAATTTTAATACGACGTTGGGTCGATTTTTTAATAAAATTATAAAAAGAATTATTACAGTTAAATTTGTTTTTTAAGTTATTTTAATAACAGAAAGCCAGGCCTATACAAAATAGAAAACAATTTTACTACGATTCTTTTTAGTATAGTCTGTAACAATGAATTGTTTCGGCAAGTTAAATAATTTTGTATATTTGAATGCTTTTAATAGTTTAATTTTAAATATATTAAATTAATTATAATTAAATATAAAGTAAATTTAAGAAGTTAATTATTATTTAGTCTCTTCTTATAATTACTGAGAAATGAGATCTGGTGAAGAGAAAATTTATTTAAATTAAGACAAAATTATATAATTCAAGCAAGCTTATTTAATTTGTAATATTTACAATTATATTTATGGAATTAATTTGTAATATATTGCAAATTAAGTTACATAAATGCAGTCTATATACCTTATATAATTTACAAATTATTGATAATTTTTAATATCTCTTTAGAATAAAAAGAAGAACGAAAATATCAGAAAAATGAAAATATTTTTATTGCATAAAAAATTATTCTTTAATTAAAAAGAAATAAGTTGATTAATTTAAATTTAGAAATTTATTCTAGAATAATGCTTTGATATATGCTATAGAATAAGACAGTTTCATCAGATAAAAGCACAATAGATTAGAAGAAATTTAGATAATTTAGAATATAATATTTNCCATGGGTGTTCTAGGTTCAAATTTTAATTTAAAAAAATTTTTTGAAAAACGTCATTTTCATTTTTTTGTTTTTTGGGGTTAATTTTTTTACAGCTGAATTATTCATTTTTCAAATTTCTATATCATCATTTTCAAATCCATTGTCACATATTTTTATACTCATCTTTATCCCCTTTCACTTAAAAAGTTTGATATAATACACATTAATAAGATTTGATTTGATTGTACATAATAGTATGTATTCTAACCTACAAAATTTAATGTATATTAGTGACACTTTTAACATGCATAATGCATACAGTGGAACCATGCTTAACAAACACCTCTCATAATGAGTAATTCGCATAATGAGCAAAACAAATTGTAAAAAAATGACTTGCTTAACGAGCAACATTTTGCATAATGAATGACAAGAAGAGGGGAAGTCCTGGATTGTGCACATGTTATATCAGTTTGTGTTTAGCACTCGTTCTGCTAGCATCTTAGTGTTGCTTGTGATCACACTGTAAGGAACCAAGTCTGAGCGTTATTTTTATTTTGCTTTTCTTTCACTTTTATTATATTTTGTTTGGGGCTTATGTTTAGTTAGGACGAAGGTTTCCTCACCCATCACCTTAGAAAGTTAAAAATAAAAGATAAAACCAACTCACCGACAAAAAAAAAAGCGCCATAGCTGACACTCGCACTCACGTTCATGCCTGAGCGGCAGATAGTAAGCCCGCACTGAAAGGGGGGGAAAGACCCCACAGACTTTTAGGAGACTTGTTAAACCTTAAAGGAAACATCCCGATAATTGTTCACAAAAAGACTGTAAAAGGTTAACAAAGTATTGTCGGGATTTAAGCTACCAGATAAACAAGAAAAAAGTGAATGTTACGTATAAGTATGTAAATGAGGGGAGTGTCTCACTTCACAACTGTGACGTCACCTCAGACTATAAATAGCGTAGCTCAAGTGAAGAAAGCAGAGGTGAGCTCCTGAAAGGATTAAGCGTAGTCTGCTGGTAGCAGTGAATGAGGTGTCCAATAGGAAATAGTCCAAAGTGTTTGCAGTTTTCAATTTGTGGATCGAAGAATAGAAAAGTCTTGAGTTGGAAAAAGGTTCCTAGTATAATTGAGGTGACGGTTAGGCTTTATAGTTGTAAGAAATTCTGTATCTTAAGTTAAGGATTGATTTTTTGTCAGAATTCCAAGGGGAATAGTTCTAAGTTAGAATAAGATTGAATTTTGTCGGGTTGACTTTTGGATTTTATTTGTTTGAATAAATTTGTTGTTTTGTTATAAATATTGTAAATAGTTATTCCTAGATCGTTATTAAATACTTTTATTGATTTTGACTAACTTGTCTTTAATTTTATTTCGGTGCACGTGAAAAGTCCAGGCCTGGCAAACTAACAAAGGCGAACCCACGTAAAGTACCCGTTAGGTACTGGCTCTTTCCAGGACGAAAATTGTTGTAGAGCGATAAGTTAAAAATAGTACTTTACAACACATTTTTCGAAACTTGTGTTCAGACATATTACATAAAAACATAAACAACCATAGCCCATTATATAATAACCATGCCAAACAATATGCAAATTTTTGGGCTATGTAAAGGCTATCATTAAATATTAGAAATTAAATAATATGACTAGAAGTAGGCAGTTATGCTGCCATCTTGTATTAAATTTAATGACCAATTCCAAATAAAATTTTGATTTTTTGTTTGTTTTCTGCAAATCGGATTTGCATTCCAGATTGATTCATTCTGCAATAGAAGAAAAGATGATGATGATTCATGCTCCTTAACAATGTATATTGTATAATTTTCTTTGAATAAATGTTATACATAAAATATTTGAGTATTTTTTCATCATGGAATGCATTATTATATTTTACATTAATTTATATGGGAAAAATTGTTTTGCTTAATGAGTGTTTTGCATTATGAGTAAGATTCTGGAATGAATGATGCTCGTTAAGTNTTCTAAGTTAGAATAAGATGGAATTTTGTCGAGTTGACTTTTGGATTTTATTTGTTTGAATAAATTTGTTGTTTTGTTATAAATATTGTAAATAGTTATTCCTAAATCGTTATTAAATACTTTTATTGATTTTGACTAACTTGTCTTTAATTTTATTTCGGTGCACATGAAAAGTCCAGGCCTGGCAAACTAACAAACGCGAACCCGCATAAAGTACCCGTTAGGTACTGGCTCTTTCCAGGATGAAAATCGTTGTAGAGTGATAAGTTAAAAATAGTACTTTACAACACATTTTTCGAAACTTGTGTTCAGACATATTACATATAAACATAAACAACCATAGCCCGTTATATAATAACCACGCCAAACAATATGCAAATTTTTGGGCTATGTAAAGGCTATCATAAAATATTAGAAATTAAATAATATGACTAGAAGTAGGCAGTTATGCTGCCATCTTGTATTAAATTTAATGACCAATTCCAAATTAAATTTTGATTTTTTGTTTGTTTTCTGCAAATCGAATTTGCATTCCAGATTGATTCATTCTGCAATAGAAGAAAAGATGATGATGATTCATGCTCCTTAACAATGTATATTGTATAATTTTCTTTGAATAAATGTTATACATAAAATATTTGAGTATTTTTTCATCATGGAATGCATTATTATATTTTACATTAATTTATATGGGAAAAATTGTTTTGCTTAATGAGTGTTTTGCATTATGAGTAAGATTCTGGAATGAATGATGCTCGTTAAGTGTGGTTCCACTGTATTTCGTTATATTAATGTGTATACAGCAGGTGTATATGTCTGGAATTTTTATGTGCATATATTGTATATATATATATACACACACACAAACATATGCACATAAAAATATATATAAAAAACATAAAAAATTGATATACATATTTAAAATTGATATATATAAGTGTGGCCCTTAGTCATTGTTAATACAGTATTCCTGATAATGCTAACATTTAAACATTACTTAAAGCTGATACATAGCAATTAATGGAAAAATGTAATTAGCCTTCAGGCAACCTTCAAACAGACATTAAATGGTCATCTGGTTAAACAATGGTAAAATGTATTTTTCTATTTTCATTATGAACATTTATCAATGAAACAGTTTGTTTTTGTACTAAAATTTAATAATCAAGAAATATTTATTTAAATTAGAAGAAATACAATTTAAATTGGCAAAATGAAAAATTAGATATTATAATATAATTTTTACACTATAAGCAATAAAGCTTGAATTTTAATAATATAATCTTTATGATTTTGCATAAGTTTTGTTTTCCTTTGACTCTAGTGACTCCATAATTAATATTTAGACATAAAATATACAACAGTGCTAATTGAATTCAAGGAATATTCCTTAAAATTTATTAATTGACACTTTAAACTTGTAAAGAACAGATATCATTCAACTAGTTATAAAGAAAAAAAATTGAATATTACTCTAATTTAAAACATACTATTAGCATTAAATTTTAGTAAATTATTTAATTTTAGTTAGTTAATTAATACAGTTTTAAAAACAAACCTTCTTACTACAGAAATTACAAACTGTGGCAGAATGAAAGTGAGTACTGATGAATTCGTGAGCACCAGATTTTCTAAATTAATACAATTTTAAAATAAAATTAATTATTAATTAAAAATTAGTAATAATATTATTGTTAAAAATCTTATAATTCAATGGTTAATATTTTAATATAACTAATCTTATATTCATACTTTAAGGATCTTATTTCATTTTCTATTATTAAATTTTATCATCTATTTAGATAAGTATATTTTTAACTACTTCTTAATTAAAAATGTTTATATATTAAGAGTAAATAATAATAATTTTTAAGAATTTTCTAAATAAACAAACCAGCAGCAATTGTTTATTTTTGCACTAAAGAATTAACTAAATGTCAATAAATGTATCATCAATATTAAAGTTATACTGTAAGAAGTATTCTATAGTAATCTCATGAGGAATTAATTTCAACAGAATTTTTCCAATAAAAACCTTAGTAATTAAACATCAACATTACAGTGTTGAAAAGTAACTGTATTTTAAAATTTCAATTTAATTTCTTGTGAAGGATTGATATAAATGCAATTAATTTTGATCACCTCATATTCTTATATATTAAAAAACAGGTAACCCCCATATAATACAGGAGTTATGTTCCAAAAAATTGCCGTGTTATATGAAACAAAGAACTAGTACGAAAATGGGGGTTAGGTTCCAAAAATTAAAACATGCTATTATATTTTCATAATTAAAATAAATATCGTTATTAAAATTTTCTTAAGTGATGCATATTAATATAAATTGAACAATGTTTTCTTTGTCATCACAAAGCACTATTAACCGAGGGAGTTTTCTTTTTGGCAAGATATCCTTATCCTCTGAGCATTTATCTGCATTATCTTCATGTCCATGCTCTACCTTTTGCAAAAAAATGTTATTTTAGATTGCTTGCTTTTAGTTAAAAGATCTTTATAAATTTCCTTATATGGTGCTAAGCACTTATGAAGAATAAAGCAAGTATGGAATAAGGGAAAAACATCTGGCAACATCAAAATTAGAAGTGTCGAGATCTGGCAACACTGAAACAAGTTTCGAGAAGGACCACGTGTATCGACAGAAGGCGGGAAGANATTTATTAATTGACACTTTAAACTTGTAAAGAACAGATATCATTCAACTAGTTATAAAGAAAAAAAATTGAATATTACTCTAATTTAAAACATACTATTAGCATTAAATTTTAGTAAATTATTTAATTTTAGTTAGTTAATTAATACAGTTTTAAAAACAAACCTTCTTACTACAGAAATTACAAACTGTGGCAGAATGAAAGTGAGTACTGATGAATTCGTGAGCACCAGATTTTCTAAATTAATACAATTTTAAAATAAAATTAATTATTAATTAAAAATTAGTAATAATATTATTGTTAAAAATCTTATAATTCAATGGTTAATATTTTAATATAACTAATCTTATATTCATACTTTAAGGATCTTATTTCATTTTCTATTATTAAATTTTATCATCTATTTAGATAAGTATATTTTTAACTACTTCTTAATTAAAAATGTTTATATATTAAGAGTAAATAATAATAATTTTTAAGAATTTTCTAAATAAACAAACCAGCAGCAATTGTTTATTTTTGCACTAAAGAATTAACTAAATGTCAATAAATGTATCATCAATATTAAAGTTATACTGTAAGAAGTATTCTATAGTAATCTCATGAGGAATTAATTTCAACAGAATTTTTCCATTAAAAACCTTAGTAATTAAACATCAACATTACAGTGTTGAAAAGTAACTGTATTTTAAAATTTCAATTTAATTTCTTGTGAAGGATTGATATAAATGCAATTAATTTTGATCACCTCATATTCTTATATATTAAAAAACAGGTAACCCCCATATAATACAGGAGTTATGTTCCAAAAAATTGCCGTGTTATATGAAACAAAGAACTAGTACGAAAATGGGGGTTAGGTTCCAAAAATTAAAACATGCTATTATATTTTCATAATTAAAATAAATATCGTTATTAAAATTTTCTTAAGTGATGCATATTAATATAAATTGAACAATGTTTTCTTTGTCATCACAAAGCACTATTAACCGAGGGAGTTTTCTTTTTGGCAAGATATCCTTATCCTCTGAGCATTTATCTGCATTATCTTCATGTCCATGCTCTACCTTTTGCAAAAAAATGTTATTTTAGATTGCTTGCTTTTAGTTAAAAGATCTTTATAAATTTCCTTATATGGTGCTAAGCACTTATGAAGAATAAAGCAAGTATGGAATAAGGGAAAAACATCTGGCAACATCAAAATTAGAAGTGTCGAGATCTGGCAACACTGAAACAAGTTTCGAGAAGGACCACGTGTATCGACAGAAGGTGGGAAAAGAAAATTCACATACTTAAGTACTAATAGTTCACTAAAATAATAATTTTTGTGAACTATTAGTACTTAAGTATGTGAAAATTTATTGCATTTTATGTTGTATGAGGGTTTTACCTAATTCTTGAACCGTGTTAGAGTAAATCCGTGCTATAAAAGCATGGGGATATACAAGGATGTTCCCAATTCTCGAACCATGTTAAGAGTGAATCCGAGCTATAAAGGTGCCGTGTTATATAGGGGTTATCTGTATATGTGATTAAATAAATATTTAAATATATAGTCAATTATGACTTTGTGAACATGTCTGTAATTACATAAGTATAAATTTATTGGAAATAAAGTAAATAAATAACAGTATTTAAAAAATGGTAAGAAGCAATCTTATAATTATATATTAAATAATATGCAAAAGTATTAATAACTTTATTAAAAATAAATTCAAATACAGGCATCTCACACATAATATAAGTAATCCACTCTAAAAAATTAGATATTCCATATGAAACAATTAACTAAAAGCACATTTCCCATTATTTTAATGGAAAAAATTATAATGTGTTACAATATCAACTGAAAATTCCCAAATAATTTCCTAATAAGACTAAAACACTAAAAAACTTCTACATATAAGCAACAAATTATCATTTCAAATGTAAAATTATTAAAGTATTGCTACCTGACACACCAAACAATTAGTTTTTTCTTGATTTTAATGTGCATCTTTTTTTTTGGACTTTTCTGGTCTCAAAAATTGGGGTGCACATCAGAATCAATGTGCACAGTATAATCAGACACAAAGTCAATTCGCTTGTGCCAGTAAATATAGGTGGCGTATGAGTCGACCAAAATGGCTGCCACAAAGGATGTAGTGTGCGTGGCAACATACGAGAGTTACATGTGTGTCTTTTTAATATATTTTCTCTCTGTAGTCAAAACGTTTTATCCACATTTGTGTCTAACATTAATCCTAGTTGATTTTGTAGTATGGAATAAGGGTATGTAGTATGAAATAGAGTTCGTGGTATGGAATAGTATGATGATTACACTTTGTGACATTTTAGAATATGTGATTGAAAAAGATATCTTTTAAGGAGAGGAAACGCTAAAACATAACTTCATATCTCTCCACCTCTTAGCAACTAATTCACTTCAGTTTCACCAACACCTATTTTTGCTCAGCTTAAAATTCTTTTATTTTTACAAACATTTTCAACCTATCTAATATAGGCCATCACCAGGTTTAATATCATAAATGTTCCAAAATGGAATGTACCGTTTTTGAATATTTTACATAATTTAACTTTAAAATAAATTGAAAGAAGTGTGTATATTAAATAAACAAATAAAACATAGAAAACAAAGCTAACTAGAAAGAAACATGATTTAAGGGTTTTTAAGTCCCATTCTTTTTTCTATTATCTATTTCCAATTTATATACCTCAGCTTTCTTTTCCTTTTTTACACTATCTTTATTGTTCCATAGCAAGCTATAGATATTGGGTGCTCTTTTATAGACCATTCTTGAGTTTTTATAAGAAAAAGAGCACACAATATCTATAGCTTGCTATGGAACAATAAAGATAGCATAAAAAAGGAAGAGAAAGTTGGGGTATATAAAATCTCATTTGAAAATCAACAGTTAGGAATCAAAAAGATTATGTGGGTGTGACTAGAAGAAACCTGGCGGTATGTATGCAAGAACACAGATACAACGTTGATAAACGACACAACACAATATTAGCGATTATGGTGCAGACTGAAGGAGCGATTGTAAAATGGGAAGGGCTAGTCATTAAAACAGTGCTCTCTCCATCCATTGCGTTGGAGATGGAAAAGGTAGAAATTTATAAAAGTAAAATAAAAAACCATTGCCTAAATGCTAGGGATGCTAATGCACTTCCAAACAGTATGGAAATATATAAAAGAAAAAAGAATGGGACTTAAAAACCCTTAAATCATGTTTCTTTCTAGTTAGCTTTATTTTCTATGTTTTATTTGTTTATTTACTTTTTATTTATTTAATATACACACTTCTTTCAATTTATTTTAAAGTTAAATTATTTTTTGAATTTTAAATATGTAAAATATTCAAAAACAGTACGTTCCATTTTGGAACATTTATAATATTGATGATGGCCTATATTAGATAGGGTGAAAACATTTGTGAAAATAAAAGAATTTTAAGCTCAGCAAAATTAGATATTGGTGAAACTGAACTGATAACTTCAGTTTTATTTCCCACTTTTTTCGCAGTAATTTATTTTTGGGAATGTGCGCATATGTAATGAGTTTGATGAACCTTTAGACTTGCATCCAAATTCACAGCAATACTTATTATTTACCATTGTAGGTTGAACACTTTCTAATTCTAACAGACCACAGACTTTATACCCATAGCAGACGCCATTACGTAGTTCGCGCTAATACTGCTAGATGTCAGATCTATCGTTGGCATACGCAAATTTAATGAAGTCTGAAATGAAATCTCACTGTTAAAATGTTTATTGTACAGTAATTTTGATAGATTTTGTATTGGTCTGCAGATACTCTATACCTGATAATGGAGTCATAAAATGAATACATTTGAAAATATGTACATTGTGAAGCACTGCAAACACAAAAATAAAATGCTTCTTAAAAATGTGTTTATTACTGTTTAAATACATTAATATTTTTCTGCTGTACATTCATAAGGTAATTTTTAAGGTTTTAAAATCTTTTGAAAGTTAGATGTTCATTAGATTCAATGGCACATTAGAATCAAGAAAAACACTAATAAGTTTTTTAAAAAATAGTTGCTTTGTATGTAACATGCATAGTTTTGTATGCTGTAATATAAAAATTATATTTATTCATATTTAGCAAGCTTTTCAAAACTTTAACATGGAAATCTAACATTCTTCATTGTATTTGTAAAGGGATTCTAGAAAAAGACTTCTGCCTTATAAAGTCCCTAACATCTGAATTTTTGAGATGTCAAAAACAAAAATTAAATAAATATTTTGAATGTAATTTGAGACTTTTTACAGTTATCACTTCATTAAGAATATTTAATTCAGGTTTAGGATGTAAATATAAATTTTTCCTATATAAACACTGGCCAAAAAATGTATTGAGTGCTATCTATATTATATGAAAGTTAGTATTATTAAAATTATTATTATATTAATTAAAATTATTATAACTTAGTATTCTTAGTTTAGTGTTAAAACTAAGAAAACTCTACTGGAAAAGTATTAATTGGGAAAAAATTTACAGGGGGCATTCATATTCATTTCAAATGTTAAATAAATTTTATATTTAGTTTATTAACTTTAAATAATAAATTTTTGAATTTTCTTTCAATATTAATTCATATTAATTTCTAAGATATTTGTGTGTATAATAATTTACATAATTAAGCAAGCACTCTTGTACTTTCCAGAATAATGTAAATTTAAGTTTTGTGTAAATTTTACTTTATTAATTAATATGAAAGGAATACTATTTTATTTAAATTTTCAATTTGAAAATTAAAATTTGTATTTAAGATAATTCATAATTTAAATTAATCATTATTTTAAAATATTAGATTAAAAATTTTTCAATATATATTTTATGCATTATCTCATAAATTCAAACTTAATGAATTTATGAAATAATTTTAAAATTAAATACAAAAATTTATTGAAAAATTTTAATCTTTTAAACTCACTTTGCTATATTTCCATCTATTCCAACAAATTCATCTTCTGATTCTGCTGCTGATTCTGTTGATGTAATATCAGTCAATCTTTTGGTTGTCTCAGTATTTCCTGATTTTTTAGTCATATTTTTGTCTTGTGACTTTTTAACCAATTCAGAAGTTTTCTTCAAAGTTACAAAAGACTTCTTTTTTAATTTGGGTGATTCAAAAACTGGTTTCTTAGGTTTATGAAGAAAAGTAAGTGTAATATCACCATAACATAACCGATAATCAAAGCCAGAGTGAACTGCCCATTTTTTCCATTGTCTAAATAAAAAATTTTTATGTATGCATATAGATCTTAATCATCAGTTCCAAGCAAATAATTAACATTCTGATAAATAAATATAAATAATGTTTCTATTAAAGTACAAGTGCATTAAATCAGTAATATCTGATAATTAGGATGGGAAACAAATATATCAAATATAAATGATAAATCAATTAATAAGAACCTATAATGCAATTTATGCTACTGCTTACTTCAATTAAAATATAATATTTTGTATAAAAAATAATAAATATGTATATATAAGTAGGTAAATACATAACTGTCTGTTACAAAACTTCAGATTTAATCAATCAATATATATTATAAAGGTAAGTGTACAATGTGCGTGCCACTAACACTCATTTTTGAGTTTTAGTGGCATGCACATTGTACACTTACCTTTATAATATATATTGTTCCAGTACGATCAAGGGAGTTACATGGTATGGTAGCCCTCTATCCCCCATCCATGAAGAAGGTTCCCGTTTTTACCTGAAGGGCATGCTGTTGAAGATATAAGGGCTGGAAGTTTCGCACTCTAGAAATTTCTAGAACAGTCCAGAACATTCGAGAGTATTTGAGAGCGTTCCACAACATTCCAGAATGTTCCAGGATGTTCTGGAACATTTGGGAATATCCCAGATCATTGTGGAACATTCCAGAACACTCTCGAATGTTGTGGAATGTTGTGGAACATTATGGACCATTCGAAGCCTTTTCTGTATGGGTGGGACTACCCATTGATGGGGATATATAAAGCAAGATCCGTTGTGGGTTCGAATGTCAGTTTCTTATCAGTGACAAAGTGAAGAACCGAAAAAGAAGTGAAAATTCCAAAGTAGTGCAGTTAATGAATAAAAACAAACAGTGAAATGTGAGTAGTCAAAGTGGTACAGTGACTGAATATAAATTGAAAATAAAGTGTGAAAACTGTGTAAAGTGTATTTAGTGTTAATAAAAAGTTGATTTGATTTATATTTTATACAATGCCCAAACTTAAAAGATGAGGAGCTCTTGCCAGTTCTGAATTTTCTTTTGAATATAACCGGAAATTTTCTTTTCAATATTAAAGCTGATACCATCGACAATATTATTTTTAGTTGCCAAAATTGCCCTTTGAAATAGCCACTTTGGATTGGTATAGTTGTGAACAATGTTTGGATAAATTTGGTCGATGAGTTCATTTTCAGTAGTGGCTATGTTGCAAAAATCACTGTTGAGTTNAGAGTAATATTAAATGTATATAATCAACAACATTTATAATTACAATTTTTTATAAATACATTATTGATAAATTATCCTATATATTCATGATATACTGTATTTCCAGTTCTACAGGCATTTGTTGTATTCATCATGTTTTGCATTGCATATCATCAGTAAAATCAGAAGTATGTGTAAATCCACTTTTTATTAAATATAGGATTTTAACACCTTCAAATGGTAGAAACTAATACCTTTGTTGTATCACTTGTGGATTCATATGAAATGTAAATAAATATAAATTCAATAGCTGGAAAATTTTATCCACAGTGTATGTGTAACTTTCAAAATACAAAGTTTAATTAATCTCCTGTAAAATTTGTTGAAATGGAGTTATACAATTTTCTTCTTTCAACATTGATATTGCTTATTATTGATAAATTAATTAAATTTTAAAATATGAAAAAAATGTTTAAAACATATTTGTTTTATTTTAACTTCTATTTTACTCAAAATTAAATTGAAAAGAAATCTTCAATGATATTGAGAAAACTTATATTTAAATTGCTGCAAAAAGTAAATTATACGATTTAATGGAATTACCTCCAACTGATACTCTTCTTTTAGGTGATTCATTTGTCGTAAGTGTATTTTCAGTAACTGAAGTCTTTCTTTTAGGAGATTCTTGAGATCCAACATCTTTAAAAGTGATATTAACAAAATCATCAACTACTGAAGTTTGAAGTGTAACATCTTCAAGATCATCTTCCTAGTTATAAAAAGATTAGTTAGTTATCAAATACATTTTTTTCAAATTCATAAATTTTTTTAGTGACATTAAAAATATTCGTAGTTTTTTAAAATATTTCCTAATAAATAATTAGTAATAGTAACAAACATTACATGAAGTAATATTTCACTATCCACAATAATCAGTAACACAAATTTCATAAGTTTATTTTCTTTTTAATATTGTTTTTTATGATTTATTAAAAATTAAATATAGGACACTTCCGTGTTGCGGTGTTATTGACAGCAATCTGTTAAATTTCAGATATGCTCGCTAGTACTTTCAATAGTTTACAACCGTCATCTTCAGGTGAAATTGAATACCTTTGTTTTCAAAGTGACAGCTTTTAACTGACTTTTCAAATTACATAATGCATGTGGTTGAAATGTATAACAAATTAATAAAAATTGAATAAATAAATATTTTTAAAGAAACATGCTGTAATAACTTGAACTCCCCAAAACATATAAATATTGAGTAATGGTGCCGTGCATAGTAGTGGAATAAAATCAGATCACAAAATTATAACTTTGATTGTTTAAATAAAGTTATCCATAGCTGTGGTATTTCCAATGTCGGCGCATTACACGGCAAAGCAGCAGATATGTAAAGGTTTTCCCATATGAATATTTGTCTACAATCATTGCAATGCTTAAGTAATTTAATGTGGTTCCAAAGTGGAAGATAATCTTGGTCTAGAACCTTTTTTGCTAATTCTGTAGTTGGTCTGTTATTTCTATTGTCCTCTTGATGTTCAAAGATGCGGAACCGTATCATTCTGGTGGTAGCTCCAATATAGATAATTTCCTCCCGATATTGTATGTTTTAATGTAATTTTATAAACCCCCGATTTTTCATTCAACGTGAGAATGTCTCTATCATTGTACAATGCTCTTCGTAGTGATGGTTGAGGAGTTATAGGTAATATAAAACCATGCTTCCTGAATATTAGTGAAATGGTGCCCGAGTACGGTATTAGAGGATTTATTATCTTTAGGCTTTCTTTGTTGAGGAGGGAAGATTTTGGAAACAATCTGTTTATGACCCGGTTGTAGAGATATCGATATTTGGAATTAGAATCCAAATGTTTCCAAAATCTTGGGCACCATCTCACTAAAAAATTTCTTAATTTTAATCTATTTTTATTTTATTGCTTTCTATTAATTATTTAATATTCCATATATTCTTCTATGTCAGAAATATATTAATGAATATTATATTATATTTAATGTACAGAAGATCTTAAAAATATTTTAAATTTTATCGTATTTTCACAGAATGGCATGCCCCATATAAATGGGGGAGACAAACATGTCAGCTAAATTGTGACTAAAATATAAAATTAATCAGATCTAACAAAACTAGTTGTTAATTAAATGTTAAAGAAAACATTCTTCCGAGTACAATAAAATAATTGCATTGTAATTTGACTGACTTAAAATCAAGAAAATAGTTTTCGTTTACAACACAATAAAATAATTAACAACTTATTGACAGCAGCAGCAGCAGCAGGGCTACTCTCACCATCTACCCAGACCTTAAAAATATCACACAAAGCCATGTTAATCTGTGTAAACTGAGATAATTTACAGTGATTTTCTTAAATTTAAAATATGTTTATTTTTGCATTTTTGAATAAATAACCATAAAATTCACATAAAAAAGCACTTTCAAAATTCCATGAGTGTTTTACGTTGTTAGAAAGAAGATAAAATGAAGAAATTAAACATATAATCATAGTTTTTAATGTAATGCCGACAACTGTTTTGCAATTTTAGAATAAAATCTTGTTTGTTTTACGTGATGTAGTTCATTTGTTTTTTTTAATGAGCTCTCTAGAGAGGGGTGCATAATCTCACTTAAACTGGCATGCCAGTTTTTACCATAAGGAAATATCTGATTTCATGGTCTCCCTCAGATAGACTGACATGCTGGACAATTCACAAAAATACAGTGTTATGTAAAAAACAGAAAAATGAACTAAAAATAGAACAGTGTTTAGAATGGGTAATGATTAAAATTTACATAGAAAAAATTATAATAATAATATATACCTTTAAAAGCTAACAAACAGAATTTTAAATATTTCAATTAGCTTTATATTTTTGTTTGGAATATGTAACTTACTCGTAGTAAATCTTCTTCTAACAAGACCTCTCTGTTAAGAGCTTCTTGAGATCTAGAAACTTTAAGAGTAGATTGTCTCTCAACAGACAACAAAAATCTGTAAAATAATCACAATTATTAATTTTATTCATAACAACATTTAATACAATGTATTTTTAAATATTTTAACTTACCTTTCTCCCATATTTTTTAATATTTTTGTAGCATGTTTAACATCACAAACTTTTGTCCCTCCAATAGATATTATAATATCATTCTACATAATTAAAAAAATTTGAAGTGAAAATATCATTCAATAATATATCAATGACAAAGTAAACAATATATAGAAAAATAGAGCATCAATAAATCAAGAATTTCTGTAACAACATTATAAGCATTGAATATGAAAATACAAGCAAATAAAATTAAATTTACATGAATTATAAAGTCCCATAAATTATTATAAAATAATAAAATTAAATTATTGTTTTTAACTTGAATCTGAGATCTATCAAATTTTTTATATGATACAATAAAAAAATTTTTAAATGGCAATAAAATGTATAGTTTATTGTATTATTTGCAGATGAGCAAAAGTAAATGTAAACTGTTCAATATTTCTAATTTTCTAAATCCACAATTAAAAGTGAAAGCTACAATATTGTGAAAACTACAGAAAAAATATTCATAGAAAAATAACAAAGACTTGTTATAAACATTTTAAACTTAAGTTTTATTATGCAATTCTTCATTTTATCAAAATCTTCTTTTTGTTTTTCATTTTCATAAAGTGTTACAAGTATTTATTTATAAATATTGTTTCAATACTTTGTATTTGTTTATAATACACTGTAAGTATATTCCTTTATTTAGTGCTTTAATGATAGAAAAGTTCCTGAAAACATTTAGACATCACATAATGTGAAATGATAATGACTTTTAAAATGAAGCCATTTGTTAAACAGAAAATGTAATATAATTACAAACATTTAAAATATTAGAATAAATAAACTAGACATTCATTTTATAAGTGATGATTAATATTCTGAAATTAATATTATTATAATATTAATATTCTGAAATTAATATTAAAATGATTAGATGTATAGCATTTGAAAAAAACTATAGAAAGAAACTGACTCTTCAAATGACTAAATTTAATATTCCTAAAATTTAACAATATTTTTCAGAAGCTAAATAAGGCATGAAAGAATCTGAAAATAGTTCCATAAATTTATGGAAATGTTTAAACTGAATTGATTTGTTGATAGAAATAATGCAAGCATTCAAATAATTTAAATGCAATATAAGTTATAACTTACTTTTATAAGTAAATTATAACTTATGTAAGTATTATATTTATTTTTACTAAACAATATAAGTATTGAACTTACTTTTTTAATACCAGCTACAGCTGCAGGTGAATTTGGTATGACACTTTCTACAACAATACAATAGTCATATTTTCCAACAATAAATTCCTAATAAATTAAAAACAACATTAATTATATTTTAACAGAAATATGAAAGTAAAATATATTTTTCAAACTGAATTTTATTTGTGTTTTCATACTACAATAATTTAATAACTATCTTAACTTATTATATACAGGTATCCTTGTATAAAGCAGAAGTTAGGTTCCACAAAATGTCACATTATAAAAATTGCATTATGCAAGACTCATATTACATATAAAAAGTGAGGTTGCATTCCAAAACAATCTTTTTGAATATAAATTTTATCTATCAAGTAAATAAAAACAGTTTTATTTAACTGAGAAAATTTTATTTAGCAGAACATGAATTACAAAACAAAAAGAAACTTATTAAAGTTCTTAATATAAAGAATTGCACATAACAATCTTTCATACATACAAAAAATAAATTTTCAAAATATGTCACTAATATTCTTTATTAGTCAATGACCAGATGGCTTCACTGAAAACCTTTTGGATATTGCTCTCTTTCAATTTCTTTGGATTCATCAACTGGTTTAGTTGTCAAGAAGTCAGTTAGAGGTCTGCTGAATGTTCTGTTGCAAATTGTTTTCAATGTTTCTTATATAGTGCTAAATAAATTTCTGATTGTCTTTGAATAGATGTTCAAAGATGCGGAACCGTATCATTCTGGTGGTAGCTCCAATATAGAATGTTTTATAAACGAAAAAAAAAAACTATATAATATTCAAATATTTAAATCATTTGATAGTCGTAATATATAAACAATGATTACAAATTTATATAAAAACCTCTGTTAAATTAAATATATAATATTGACGACATCTGACATTCACACCAGATGTCATCAAAGGGTTAACTCCTTCCCTCTTCGGACATCCAAAAAACTCAATCTCCTTTGAAATCTTTATCACTTTATGAATAATAAAATGTATAAACTGTGAAAAACTTAATGAAATAAAATAGCTGTCCACTGAAGTTCAACTCCCCCCCTCTTGTCCAACTTTGTCTAAATCATCATAATTTCCTCCCTCCCTTCCAGTGTGGACATCATTTATGAACAGCTCCTTACATGAAACATGTGTTAGCAAAAAGATACCTTGAAAAAGTTTTATCTAGATTAANAAAAATTTATTGAAAAATTTTAATCTTTTAAACTCACTTTGCTATATTTCCATCTATTCCAACAAATTCATCTTCTGATTCTGCTGCTGATTCTGTTGATGTAATATCAGTCAATCTTTTGGTTGTCTCAGTATTTCCTGATTTTTTAGTCATATTTTTGTCTTGTGACTTTTTAACCAATTCAGAAGTTTTCTTCAAAGTTACAAAAGACTTCTTTTTTAATTTGGGTGATTCAAAAACTGGTTTCTTAGGTTTATGAAGAAAAGTAAGTGTAATATCACCATAACATAACCGATAATCAAAGCCAGAGTGAACTGCCCATTTTTTCCATTGTCTAAATAAAAAATTTTTATGTATGCATATAGATCTTAATCATCAGTTCCAAGCAAATAATTAACATTCTGATAAATAAATATAAATAATGTTTCTATTAAAGTACAAGTGCATTAAATCAGTAATATCTGATAATTAGGATGGGAAACAAATATATCAAATATAAATGATAAATCAATTAATAAGAACCTATAATGCAATTTATGCTACTGCTTACTTCAATTAAAATATAATATTTTGTATAAAAAATAATAAATATGTATATATAAGTAGGTAAATACATAACTGTCTGTTACAAAACTTCAGATTTAATCAATCAATATATATTATAAAGGTAAGTGTACAATGTGCGTGCCACTAACACTCATTTTTGAGTTTTAGTGGCATGCACATTGTACACTTACCTTTATAATATATATTGTTCCAGTACGATCAAGGGAGTTACATGGTATGGTAGCCCTCTATCCCCCATCCATGAAGAAGGTTCCCGTTTTTACCTGAAGGGCATGCTGTTGAAGATATAAGGGCTGGAAGTTTCGCACTCTAGAAATTTCTAGAACAGTCCAGAACATTCGAGAGTATTTGAGAGCGTTCCACAACATTCCAGAATGTTCCAGGATGTTCTGGAACATTTGGGAATATCCCAGATCATTGTGGAACATTCCAGAACACTCTCGAATGTTGTGGAATGTTGTGGAACATTATGGACCATTCGAAGCCTTTTCTGTATGGGTGGGACTACCCATTGATGGGGATATATAAAGCAAGATCCGTTGTGGGTTCGAATGTCAGTTTCTTATCAGTGACAAAGTGAAGAACCGAAAAAGAAGTGAAAATTCCAAAGTAGTGCAGTTAATGAATAAAAACAAACAGTGAAATGTGAGTAGTCAAAGTGGTACAGTGACTGAATATAAATTGAAAATAAAGTGTGAAAACTGTGTAAAGTGTATTTAGTGTTAATAAAAAGTTGATTTGATTTATATTTTATACAATGCCCAAACTTAAAAGATGAGGAGCTCTTGCCAGTTCTGAATTTTCTTTTGAATATAACCGGAAATTTTCTTTTCAATATTAAAGCTGATACCATCGACAATATTATTTTTAGTTGCCAAAATTGCCCTTTGAAATAGCCACTTTGGATTGGTATAGTTGTGAACAATGTTTGGATAAATTTGGTCGATGAGTTCATTTTCAGTAGTGGCTATGTTGCAAAAATCACTGTTGAGTTCAATGAGGTCGGTTGTCTGGTCAGTGGGATATGTGCCTTCGCCTATTTGTAAAAGTTTTTGAGCAAAATGTTGTTTATAAACAAGTATTGTAAATAGTTAGAATATGTTTTCAATAAAATTTTTTTACGTCTTATATTTTAAAGTTTATCCTTTTATTCCAACTACCACACAATCTCATATCAACTCCCTGAGCGAAGCTGGGTACCCCAGCTAGTTCAGAATATATTAAGCCAGCAAAATTTTCAACATTATTATAGATAGCATACATGTAATATTAAATACTGAAAATCAACAAATAGTTTATCATCAATTATTATATTTCCTTGAATAAGCATCTGGGCACTTATGGCACTTATTCATTTTGACAGATCAAATCCACAGTGCTTATTCAAGACCAGTAACTATTTAAGACCTGATGCTTCATTTTTACAGTTGATTACTTTGACTACTGTAATTCACATTGTTTTAATATGGTAATATAATTTTTAGTCAAAAAAACATCAGACTCCCTACTGCTAAATTATAAAAGCAACTACAGTAAAACCTTGTTATTTTGGACCAATGGATCAAAAAAACACAACTTTGAATTATCCAGGTTCAAATTATCCAAACTTTTTTTTGAATCAAAGTTTTTTGTAATTTTTGAATAAAATTATGACATTATCCTATATAATTTCACCTGTTTGTTTACAAATGCATTATTATTATTATAAGTTATTACTTGAAAACAATGAAAATGTAACCAAATTACATTCAATATCAAAGCAAGATCTGAAAATAATGTACAAAAAGCTTAAGTGAGTCAATAAGAATTAATGCGAATTTTACCTGTTAGTTCTGTGAAGTATTCACTGTCTTGTGTTTAAGATTATGAAAATCATATAATTTGATAAAAACAAGTGCTATTAACAGCTAAAGCTATAACTATGTATTCTACTATGAATACACACATGTATTTAATGAACTTTTGAATTATTGAAATAATAATTATTTTGAACATTTTTTGCAAAAATCTAAGTGCCAAACAGATTTCTTCCGTAAAAACAAAAAAATTCTCTCTTCATTAGCAACGTCTAGAATATCTGAGTGACCTTAAATGGACATCCAATAAATCAACAATGTACAGTATAATCGATAAAACTAAAACCAAAACTTCAAATTTGGCATGAAAACTTTCTTATAAACACAGAATATAATGGAAGATTTCAAATTAAACAATATTTCTGTAGGTCACCAATCCAGATAATGACTTTAAATTTCATTGTGTGCATATTTTGAATTATCTGAACTAAAATATATGCAAAATCCTATTCTCTTGGCCAAGGACTAGACTTGTGTTCAAGTTACATGATAATTCAAATTATCTGATATAGAAATAACAAGATTTTACTGTATTTAGAATAATAAGAGTCTGTTGTCTTACCCAAACTGCAAATTGTGAAATGGAATGATTTAAATGTGCTGCTTACTAATATTGAGCAAGATGTGAAAAAAATTAGTCTTATCATTTTAAGCCATCCTTCACATTAATTATTTTTGTCTTAATCAAGTACTTTAAGATACTTAGAAAATTATTACAGTAGCCCTTGTTATATTGTGCATGTTAGAAGACAGAGAAAATTTACAGAAGCACGATATAACCAAGTTATAAAAATTCTGGACTTATACTAAACAGATTGTACACGTGAGATCCACGATTTTTACATAGTTGTCGGGAAAAAATTTGTAAACAACTCCAATGGAAAAACCCCGCTCTTGATGAGAATTATATCGGAGGTCACCGTTTGTTTTCACAATTAGGTGGGAAAGTTGACACTTAGTTGATCAGAATGCACCGTTATTGTCAACAGAAGTCGATCACGTGACTCCTTTCCCACGAAGAACGTATAAAAGCTCGAGCCCCTGGAAGCTCAGGGCGACCAAAGGAAGTTATACTTATTAATGTGTGCATCTTGTCTCCATACACTGGACACAGCGACCGAAAGGACATCGCTATACGACAGACAATGACTTTGAACTTCCATCGCCATTCTACAATTCCTGCGCCAACTACAAGTCCTATGGCCCATTCAATGAACGCATATTAATCATATCCTCATAGAGGTATTTGTATTTTAGAGCTTTGTGAACTCTCTCTCTCAAAATAGCTGTTAGAACGATTAAGAGCGGCCCTTTGTATAGTTAACTCATATTTAACTGCATTTAACCTATATATATTGTTATCACCTTATGTAACCTAGCTTAGCCATTCAATAAATATTTTGTTATTTTGTTTAACCTGTCATCTATCGTTGTACCTGCCGACTTACCAACGTTCTCCCCACTCGATTTGCCATCCTAGCCATTCAACAACCACGAGATCGGGTTTTACCAACCCATGAAGATTAAGTGGTCATTAGGGATTGTCCCAGTGGCCCTCTGCTTATCTCACATACATGCTATGAAACTTTATCCTCTGTTCTTTCATCAGAAAGTGTTTTTGATATAAAATATGCTTAGTTTTGCAACATTGAATTTTATTTGTGGTTATATCAAGTTGTCTATCTTTTCAAGTTTATTTATTTCAAGTTGTCTGTCTTTTGCCTGAGAGTAGTGCTTGTATGCTCTTCATGTGAAAGCATTGAATGCAGCACCTTTATAATACTATGGATCACAAGTTAGAAAGAATCTTCTGAATTACCATTTCTAATCTGGCAATCATTTGACTTTAATATATTAATATTATGGATATTTTTATTTATTTGTGTAATAACTATTTCACAGAGGTCCCAATATGAAACTAACCATTGGTATACCTCACTTTCAGACATATGTATGTTCATTGAAAGTAAAAAGTGAGGAGTAAAACTGTATGTGTGTGTGTGTGCATGCGCGCGTGCACTAGGATAAGGAGCTGATGATGGTGCTTATTTATGTCATTTATGCTGGAGAAAAAACATCCCTCAGTGCACAAAAATAAAATTCTAGCCTTACTGGAGTGCATAGAGTTGAAGTCCAAAACAATAAAGTACTTGTTACCCAATGACATCATACTCCTAATTCACAATAGTAACTGTAGAGGGTTGGAGATGATATACTGGTATCCCATAAGATAATTATGCAAAATTTAATGTATTCTTTTTTCAATTAGGATTATAGGTGATCAAACTTTGAAAAATATAGGTCAACAAAGCTGCTTCTTTGTTGGAGGAGAATTGGCTTGGTGCCACTCCAATGACTGTTGCTTGGTTTCTAGCTAAAATGGTGGTGCCATGTTTCATCTCCTGTCACTATTTATGACAGAAAATCATCCCCCTCAGCCTCAAAAAGATGCCAACAATTCAGAAGAAATAGTCAAATTATAGTGGTCTTTGTGATCTCTGTCAGCTGATAAGGCAACCATCTGTTACACATCTTTGAAAATTCCAACTTTTCAAGTATCATTACATTTGCTTCTTCAATGTTCAATTCCAATGCCATCTCTTTCATGGTTATGTGTCTGTTTATACAAACTGTGTTTGCTTGTTACACTATGGCTTCCACATGGCTGTTAATGATTTTCCACTTCATGTCAAATCTTGAACACCATGTCCATCTTTTGTTGATAATCATGCAGTCAAAGGACTCATCCACATACATCTTTTCTAGTTACTTTCTTAGTTACCAACAGTCTCCCCACAAACCATGAACTCAAATCATGGCACATTGCTTTTGATGGATACCAAGCAAAGCCACCATTCCAAAGCATCAACCATGAATGCCATTTGCAGGACAAATAGAAACTATACATGCA